AAGTAATAGACGACTACAAATTTACTAAGTAGTATTTTAGTATTTAGTATAAAAAAAATAAAGTAAAAGTTTAAATAACGAAATAGAGGTCGTGACCATTGGATTGGGCCCAGATTCAATCTGAGCCATTAGCTGACACTGTAGCTATCAGCCCGTGGGTTGACAGGATCTTTCCATATATATATATATATATATATATAGAAAACTCTTAAAAAGCCCTATAGGCGAAATTGAATAGTGTTTTTGATAGTGGATACAAAGACTAGAGCAAATTTTCAAGCCGAAAAACAAGGTAAAATGGACACCTTCAACAAGCCACATGCTAAAAACCAAGCTAAGTGAATAAGTTACAATCCTTTAAATAACAATTACAACCATTTCTAGCCTTGTATAACCACTGTAGATAAACTTAAATACCAACCCCTTATGGGGCAATTATATATAAAGCAAGACTAGCTTATGAATTACACTTTCATTACACCAATTACATAGACTATGTCCCAAAGAAGCTTAAATACATTATGCTACTAATCTAAAAACAATTCTAAGGAATAAAATCAACTAAACAAGGAATTAGAATGCTAAATTAAAATAGGGAAGCCATGTTTCGAACCCCTTGTGTTGGAGCTACGCAATCGGGCCCTATAAAGACTTAATTTTGTCCCTTCGGATTGTACAAAAGTGGTTCATTCTTGCAAGAGTGTCTAATCCAAATGGGAAGCAATTACACACCTTAAAATCACTTCTTAAGATCTCAACACACTGACATTATCATCCAAAACAGAATGTAAAAAGTTTGAATCTAATCGGATAAAGATCAAGAGAGTTATGGTTAAACTACACACGGTGGTCCCTCGGACCACCAAAACAGTCTTGTATGAAAAGATTATGAACCCCCATAGGTAAAAACGTGATGAAAAAGTTTTGGCAATTGAGTGACATTCTGAGACTAAATTATTTGATGGATTTGAAGCAAAGTAATCAATGAATACTATGCATGATCATGGATTCTCATGCATATAGGCTATAACTCATGAAGGGCCACACTATGAATAAGCATGATGAAAAAGATGATCAAATGGGGATTCTACAATCAATGAAACTGTTATAAATTCAAAACTCCAGCAACTATAGATGCCAAGAATATGATCTTATAAGAAAACAAAATTCAATAGAGTTTACCTTGATATATGCACACTATGGACTTAAGTATAAGAAAGGAGGACTACTATCAAGATCACCATTGATGGAACTTTAAAAGCTCTCTCTCTTCAATTCTCTCTCATAAACCTTAGAAGAAGGAGGGGAGCAACAATTTTCCAAAATGGTTCAAGAGTTGAGATAGTTAGGGTTTGAGATCTCATGATGTGCTTTTATAACATGGGTGTAACCTTGAACTTAATCAACACCTTTGATGCACTAATCCAAAGGCACATGAGAGACTAATGAATCTAGCCACCCATCCCCATCCAACCACTAGGATGAAAGGATGGGATTTCACACCATTATCACTCACACTAACCTTAAGTTATGCCATTTTATCATTTTGTCTTTGGCCCATGTTTTCATCCAATTGTATCTAGTATGGCTATACAAAAATACCCGTAGTTTTTTTTAATAATGTATTGGAGTAGATAACCACAAAGGCTAAAGGGACAAGAAGTAATTGGCAAAGCTCACACATGTGGAGATATTCTACTTCGTCAAAGCCAATCACTTTGTAGATCTAAAATTTCGAACCAATCAATTTAAAGATAATGTCCCCTTCACATGTGAGTGAAGATATTTTGCAACTCAAATTTGAAAATGCATTTCTCTTTAATATCAAATAAATAAATAAATTAAACTTCACACATGCCATGCATGACCCATGTGTGAGTTAATTAAGACATGTGATAAAAAGGGGGCCTTAATTTATAACATTGTATAACAAAATATAACAATATATAACAAGACACCATAACACAACCTCTTATAAAACAAGCAACCAAATGCCAATCTAGTCCCCCATCTAGGGATCAGCGCCCAGCTAGGCGGTGATTCTAGAGTGAGGTGTGGGGTGCCACGTGGCAGCCCTATGACGACTCGGACGCCACATGGCATTACCAGGTCAGGACTAAAGTGGAATTTGAGTCAAATAATTTGAAAGCCCTCTTTTTTTAGCAAATAAAATTCTAAAAAATTCACATTAAATATTTAAAGTATTTTTGAGCAATTATTAGGTTTTTCTCATCATTATAAAATCAGACAAAAGGTATAGTGAGATCTCAGGCTAATAACTATAGGTGTCGGAGTATTCCATTGGGCTAGTCCCGAATGATGTTCCGCTGAGTCTCAGATCAACCCAATAGACCTATGTTCTACAGTCTAAAGCAGAGACACATAATTGGCCATATCAAAGCCGCTGAGCTAGAACTTTCGATCATTCGTCTCTCTATGGATTAGAGGTGTACCCCTGTGGGTCATGATCTAACTCAATTACAGGAGTCCTCTCAAAGCACACGTACATTGACTCTTCCAAACTCGGATAACGCATTTGGAAGAGTGGCTTCCCGTACGAAATGAAAATGCCCATGCCATGTAATGGTCTTGTATCAGGATACCGACTTATGTCCCATAAGTCTGGACCAGACCATACAGGGTGAATACTCAATAAGTACTCGAGTTCTATTTTCTCGTTTGGATTTTCCAAGCCCTGGCCGATTGCAGCTAAACATGAGCTATAAAATCCTGACTAGGAGGTGACCTTCACACCTCATTGAGAAATTGCTTTCTCAACACGTGAACTCTCGATGCCTCATGCGTACTCGGGGTAAAGAATCTGGGCTCCATTTTGTAGGATGCCAAGATTTCAATCTCCCAATCGCTCCCACTGAATGAGAGACTATTGGAATTTAGGCCTTGATAGGCCATATTTCCAACAGTTTTGCCCCGCCACGGATATGCCATGTCTGTGTCGGTTTTGCCTTAAAAACCGTCATGGATCTACGGGAGCCGTGGCGATTTTTCGTGTTTTTTTGCGTGACAAAACACCACCACGGATATGCTATGTTCATTGCGGTAGCGCAACAGACATAGTAGGTTCGTTGCGGTCTTTTAATCCATGTTGTCCAAAAAAATTGGACGGCACCGAGCCTATGGGTGAAAACATTGTTCATTTTTGCCCATAGACGTTGCGTAGTGGCTTCTTTTCTATATATATATATTATAGTGGATTATGCGCTTCTACGGGCGTATTTGTATTAACTGACTGACCTAGGGTTAGGTGGCCTATGGCCTTAGTCATGTCCAAAAACTTACCCCTAGGTAGATTGCACTATTGAAAAGGGTTTTTAGAGGGTCATCCCTTGTTAAGGTCGACGAGGTTTCTCGGGATGGTTTGTAGGTTAGGAGAGCTTCGTGTTCTGCTGTGTTCAGATGTAGGCCTCTGGGAGCACGGGCTAAATGTAGACTCCCCCTCCTAAAAATTCCGGCTAATGTGACTCCCATAAATCATAATTTTACGCCCTAGGGACCACAACAGCCTAGTAGACCCTAGATTACCATGTTTTGTAGTCCAGATGCCTTAATCACCTAAAACCTATCTAATACCCCAAATTTGTCATCTTAGGCACCTTTGAGCTTAATAAACATAAAAAACCAACCCGGATGCCAGTCTGATATGCAAAAACCTAAAAATTGATACCCTATTGTCCTAGCCAAGTAGACCTCACAAAAATGCTAAAATTGGAGCAAACTTGGTTCCATATTGTAGAGGAGGTCGTAAGCTTTCCAACGGTCCAAGAATCGCTCAAATTTGACATACTACTTGAAAGTTATCGCCTGAATCTAATTGTTTACCAAAAGTTTCAGAATGGTCCTTGCAGAAATCCTAGAATGCCCCAGAATTTTCAAGAAGCTTCGTGTGGGCCTGTTGTGGCAGTTTTGGCTATCTGATAAGCCCAATTTTTTGGCTATCTGATAAGCCCAATTTTCCTTAGGATAATTAGAAATATTTTTACAATAAATAAAACCAATTTTTAGAATTTTTCAGAATTACCCTTGACGTACTCCTATTTAAACTCCCTCAGAAAATAACAAAAAATCATTCGGAAAATACAACAAAAATCTGAAAATTTCCAATAAATTAGAGAAAAATCCTAGATACCCAAAGCCTTCGATAAATCCTTAGAAAATAGGAAAAACCTAGAAAAAATAAAATCAAAACCCTATATAATAGAAACCATAGCTTTTCCTATCCCAAACCCTAGAGTTCTTAGGAATTTAGGAGCCTAGGTCAAATCACCCTAATTTCCTCAAAATCCGAGCCATAAAGCTTCTTAAACATCAATCTCTCTTGCGAAAATCATCCAAGCAAGGAGAAGCAGTGCAAAGTGCCCTGATACTCGGGGTTTCGGGTCCGAGGTAAGTCTCTCGAACTGTTCTTTAATTTTTTATTTGTTTTCTGTATTTTTTACTTTATTTTATATTTTCTGGTTTAGCTTATAATTTTAGCTTTTAAAATTTAATAGGTGTAGAATTTCAGCTGGCCGTGCCTGCATATCCAAAGTTGTTAGATTTCTTAGATTTGTAATAGTTTTGGGTCTGTAATTTGACCGGTCCTACTTCTCTATTTATCTGTAATATTTAACTTGTTTGGCACAAATTTGAGGGGATCTCACGCTTGATCAGCTCAGACTTGCGCATAAACACTAAAAACCTCACCAAACTTGCCACTGCATTACTGGAAAGCAACCCTGAAAAGGGATACATGTACATATGCATAGAGAGAGTCCCCCTTTGTACTATTGTGATGTGTATGACTTTCTCTTAAGGGGGGGAACCTAGAATCCACATTTGAGGATTGTGGTTCCACTATTTGTTGGCCAGATTTGATGAGCCAATGAAGAGCGCCTGCGTTAGACTGTGGGCCATGGGTCTCGTTGGGTTGATTTGAGAAGATAATCGAGAATCATAGTTTTTGGGTCGGTTGGAGTGCCTTGACAGTCACTTATCTTGACCCGTTGGTACGGTCCACTTCTATATATTTTGTTTCAAAGTAATAATTATTTTTGTGATTTTTAGAAATTTTCAGAAATTTAAAATTCAGCAGGAAAAACCCTTAAAAGGGCATTTATGAAATTATGGTTGTGCAGAGGGCACGTGTGGGGCCCTTGTATCCGGCCCAGATATGTACAACACCACATGGGTGAGGGATAGAACCCATGGGGGCCACACATGCACACACACATGGGATGTCATGCCCCCCTTGAAAGAAGTAGTTATGTGGAATTCAAAGGAATAGAATAAAAAATTTTCTTTATTTCGTTCATTAATATATCTGAATTCCACCTACAAGTTCTATAATACACTGCTGTAAACGGAAAATAAACCCCAAATACAACCTAGGATCTTGTTTTTTGCTATCAAATTGAACAGACACAATCCAAGAATGAAAACAAAGTTCCACCAACAATTTTAGTACAAATAATGTTCTTAGAAATTCAAATAAATTACTAAATAATGACTGAAAATAAAAGAAAACTGCTAGGAAGACTGACTTGAACTTCCGAGGGTCACCTTAATAATACTTAAGATGTCCCACACCTGATTTCCTTGTTAATGGCGTACTCTAATCCTATTGACCTTGCTGACTTTTTTGAGCCGGGAAGCCTCCTTAGCCAATACCTCACAAAACTAGGGTTTTAGAGAGCATAAACACAATTAGGATTTCTAGACCCCTTTATAAACCTATAGGGCATGCCACTACATGACACCTCCCCTTAAAACTAATTAGGGTTAGGATTACGTCCCTTTTGAAACCCTAAGGTTAGATGTGCTTACCCTTAAGCCTTTTAGGGTAGCGTGCCACCTAGAAAGAGAGGAGAGAGAGATAGCTAGAGAGATGAGAGAGAGAGAGAGAAAGAGAGTATAGAGTTGTGCGTAGAGAATGAGGGGGGCTCCCTCCTTATGTAGTCCTCAAGGGCCCCTAGGTATGCCTATCCAATTGTGATTCACTATGACCAATAGGAATTTAGGAAATTTATGAGGTGAGAGGATTAAATTTGAGCCATTCATCCCATGAATTAGCGATCATGATTTAGAGAGGAATATTATGAACATTATCCCCTGAATCTTTGATCCATATCCACTTCTAGCCAAATTATGATAAGACCAATCTAAATAACCTTCTAGAACTTTCTTTATCTCTTTTATAAAGGAAATAAAAAATTAAAATATTTTGGTCAACCATATTAGTGGTGCACATTGTATTCTTGCGGTAAAGTAGTAGTCAAGATCAATTGTGTTTATTTTATTAACCATGAAAGATATTTACCTTGCTTGATACTTGCTTGTTCTCTTAATTTTAAACAATAAGTCCTACTTGCCTATGGCTGAAAATACTCTACAGATATGTATCTTGTAACTGTTGCTTATTATCATTCGCCACTTTGACTTCAAACTTATGATTTTTTTTTGTACTAGATGGGGAGGACCACTACCACAAAGTTGGCATGACCAGCAATTGATTCTACAAAAGAAAATACTTGCTAGAATGCATAATCTTGGAATGACTCCAGGTATTGGATGTAATTTGGAATTTATTTCTTTCTTCAGAGTAGCTATGTCTCACAATTTATGCTCCTCTTTTGGGAATAACTTTTGAAAAAAAAAATGGCCGATGTTGATTATAGAATATAATGGTCTCACCTGTAGCGGATGCGCATCTTTGTTTTAAAAATTTTGCCAACTAATTTGTTGGAATATGTTCCATCAATTGTATTTGCCATTCATTTTTGCTTGTGATCTTCTCATCATTCATTTGTTTTCTCCTACTGTTTTTTGACATGGGTGAATGAATACTCTCTTTCTATTATAAGTAAATCTCCGAATAGTTGTTTCATTCAATTTTCATCAACACATTTTTCTTTTAATTTTTTTTTTTTTTTTTTGCATCTTTTATTGTATGAGTTTGCTCAAATAGCACACTCTTCAGTTCATTTGATAGCTGAATTGAAGTTTGCTATATTTATTATAACAGTAGTACCAAATAGTTCATCACAAGGGAAACTGGAATTTAAAGTAAAAGTTATAGTTCCAATTGTTGAAGCTAAATTATGGACTGACTTTTCTCCCTGATAATTTAACTTAAATGATACCTTTTTTCAGGTTTTCCAATCGTCCTGTAATCATGTTGATGTATAACAGAGAGAAAAGAAAGAGAAATAGCTCACAATCAGGTAGAAAATATGGGATTTCAACTGTGAATCATAGACAGTGGGTTGAAGCCAACAAAGCCTAGGTTCAATGGCTTGTATGAGGGTCCAAATGCACTCCAAAATGGGAACTAAGTTCCTGATTTATGGAATTTTACAGCAAAAACATTGATTCCCAGCAAGATAAAGACTCCCTCTTTAATTAGACTTGGCTTGGGCTTAACTCAAAGCTCTCTTAAATTTCCTAGGAACATTAATGGACGTCACTCCATTTCTCAAAAAAAAAAAAACATTATTGGACTTTTCTCTTTCACAAGTTATGCAAAATGCCTTTTCCCAAGCCATGCGCAATTAAAGTTTCTAGGCATATTAATGGACACTATCCCCATGCACAATACCACTGCCCATTCAAAATTTTAAATCCGAATTGTAACCTTTCCCTCCTAAAATTTTCCTCTGCTCAAAACTTAAATGGAACCCCCTAGATTCTCTTTAAATTCCAGAAAAATCCATTACGGAGAAAAATACCCAAAATTCCGCTGCAAAAACTACAGAACTTTTTATTTTCTTTAGCACATGTGACATAGGTTCTTCCAAAATTATTGTTTTTTGGGCACCGAGTTGCTCTCCTGGTCTGTAAAAGTGTGATATTTCTTCTGTACTTCGAAATGCATTAAAAGGAATTGGTTCCAATACAATGAGACATTCCATGGATTCCAAGGTTTAATTTTGATAGCTTCTGGGTTGTTTCTCCATAGAGTAGCTTTGCCTTTTCTTCTACAAAAGCTATCTATCTACAAAAACTATCTATTATTTATTTATTTATTTATTTCTCTCTTGCTGAAATCATGAAAGAGCTGGGGTGTGAGGTTTTTACTTTTCATTGCACTTTTCTTATTAAATTTTAGGGGAACCTTTGAATTCTTAATAATTTTAAAGTGAAATTGAGATTGAAGTTTCCCATATTTACTCTGTTCCATCACTTTGTGTCTATAGAGGTCTGGGATTGCATAAAAGGAGACATAGAAAGGCAGTTTGATCCCTGTTTTGGATGTCTTGTTGAATAAAAGATGGGGAGTATTTGTGTTAGGAATAGCCGCTCTTGCAATCCAGCAATGCAGAATGATTTGAATTGCAACCTTTTTTCAAACAATATGGATGCATTGCCAGTGGCTAGTCCTTGGCCGAATAGCATGGCCACTCTGATGATTTATGTACAAGCACCTCCAAACTGCATGTCCTCTCCGCCCCCCCTAGGCTTCACCTATGCCTTACCTGATGCAGGCATCATTTGAAAAGCATGAGTTTTCAATCTTGTGTCTGATCGTGGTGATTCCAATTGCATGTTGAAGATCCTTCAATTATCTCTAGGCTATTTCTAGTCATTTTTCATAATATTGATATTTTCAGCATCCAATTTTGGTTTAAAGCGTAGTTGTAAAAATAGTGGTGAATCGGGAGTTATTAGGGTTTTTGTTAATTCATAAACAAGTGGTTACTTAGAAAATTGTCTTAGTTTTTTGTGTAAGATTTATATATTTTCTATTTTCAATGTATTCTTAGGATTTTCTTTCTATAATTAGTGGATGCATGGAGGGGTTTATAGCGACTTTTGGGTTTCTAATGTATGGGGACTTGGTTGGGGGTGTTTTAGGTTTGATGTTCTTTTGTTGGTGTTGAAGTTAAGGTTTAGGATTTTTTTGGCTTATATAATGGGTGTTATGGGTCCATTGTAGATACTTTGAGTTATTATTGTATTCGTGTGAGAACTTTTGAGTTTTTGAGCTCCTTCCAGTTTTGTTGCGGTCTCCATGTTATGAGAATGCTAGATGACAAGGATCTAAACAAAGTGAGTGATAGTAAACCCATATCTAAGGTATCACGCATGAGTCTTTTCTCTATTCAATATGTTTATCAAGGAAGTCTTCACAACGGCTTTGCATTGGTTATCAAAGATCAATTATTACCAACCCCCACGCAATGGGCTTTGCCCTTTATGAAACCATAGAAAAATTTGATAGTAGAAAACAAGTTATGGTATTGCAAGGGAAGTTGAGGGAAAAGTTGTATTTGGCTTCTCGATGTTGGCAAACTTACGGTATGATGATTAGTTGGACATTTGTTTGAGCTTAAGATCCTTGAGATCAACCCCAGAATAGGCTACTGCTAAATTAGGATAGCATTGAATGACAAATGGAAGATGCCATTTAAGACTAAAGAGGGTTCCAAAAAGTTAACTACAGAAACTTGAAGAAGAGAAGAAATGCCTTTTGGCATGGTGGTTCAAGGTGGCAAAGCCACAAGTTGACATCCTGAGTTCTATTCCTAATCCATTGGCATGTCAGAAAAGAAAATAGATACTTGATGAAGAGATGCTGAAGAAATTTATGGTTGGAAAGTCAAAGACATTCTTTTTAGGGAGTGGGAAATGATGAAGTTTGAAAATCACATTCTTTTGTTGTTATTTGTTGGGTATATTTTCCACAAACTAAGGGTAGTTTAGGAAGAGAGTATTAGTACGTTTCACTTATTTCCCTGTGTACTATTTCTTTTAGTAGATACTTTGCTGATTTTAGATTTCTAATTGTGTGGGACTTGGTGAAGAGTTGCTAGAAGCATCTTGACATAGGAATGGGATTTGGAAAGGGTCTTGTGCGTGGGCTGAAATCATAATGATGAAAGTTGAATTACTAAGGTATTTGACTATTTGTGTAAGAACATTTGTGTTCTTGAGGTCAATAGTGCTGGACTAGAGATCCGACAGTTGAAGAGAACCTCAAGGCCTGAGTTACCCAATTGATGGTGGACTTGATTCCAAGGTTGGTTTAACTAATGGATTTGGTGATCCATCAAGCTGCAAACCCTGGAGGAATGTTGGATGAGTATGAAGATCATGGGATTTGGCCAGCTACCCTACATCTCAAGGATATTTTTTTAAACTTCAAAAGAGAATCTTCTTGTTGGTGCCTATTCTGATTGTGAGTTTGGCTAACGATAAAATACTTTGTATATAGAGAACTATTTGAGGAGAGGTTTATAATGCCTATATCGGAAACAAGAGTTTTGTGGACTTAGTTTCTCAACTTATGGAGATGCTGTCCATTCAACAGCGGGTTGTGGTAGTACAAAAGATCTGGAAAGAAAAATCAAGAATTAGTGGTGGTATTGGAGCATCAATTACTGGACAGTTCCCTAAAGATCGAGTGAATCAAACTCGATTACGATTTTCACTAGTTAGAGAGAGAATCTCTTTATCGGTGCCTTTTCTGATTGTGAGTTTGAATCACCATATGTTGACATAGGGATTGAAATACACAGTGAAGGTCCTAATGATGTGATTGATGTACAGTGATGGAAGAAGATTGAGGTAAAAATTTGGTTCTAGTATGAACACTGCCAATGCCCAAAGGCCCCATAAGATGGAAGTTTGCTAAAGACAAAATACTTTGTATATGGAGAATTATTTGAGGAGAGGTTTATAATGCCCATATCAGAAACATGAGTTTTGTGGACTTAGTTTCTCAACTTATGGAGATGCTGTCCATTCAACAGTGGGTTATGGTAGTACAAAGATCTGGAGAGCAAAATCAATAATTAGTGGTGGTATTGGAGCACCAATTACTGAACAGTTGCCTAACGATTGAGCGAATCAATCTCAATTACTATTTTCTCTAATTAGAGAGAGTCATGTAACGATGACTCAAGGAGCATAAGTTTTCAACTCTGTGTTTAATTTGGGTGATTCTATTTGCATATGGAAGATCCTTAAGTTATCTATAAAGGTTATGTATCGGCATTTTTCATTATTTTCAGCATCAAATCTTGGTCTAAATTATACTCACGAAATTGTAACGAATTTCGAGAGTAACGAGGGCTTTTAGTATTTCTTAAATGAGTTGAATTATTTGATCATTTCTTATGGAAATTAAGGGGTAAAATGGTCAATTGATAAACAACAGTAAGTTCTATACTTCTATTTGTTCTGATATATTCTTATGATCGTCTTTTCCTATATTAGAAGAGGCAGCATGTCGAGGGCACCGAGGAATGATTCGAACTCAAGACCTTGGCGCCCAAGAACAGCACTTCACCACGACAGCACATTAAGCCGTCAATTGTCTTTTTCTATATTTATTCTATGCTTTTAGGGATTTTAGTGAGTTTTGGGTTTTCAAGGCCCTGAGATTTAATTGAAGATGCTTTAGAGTTTAGGTTCTTTTCTTGGTTCTTAAGTTAGGATTTAGAACTTCATTCGCTTGTAGAAAGGTCATTATTTGTCCATTGCAGATATTTGAATTATTATTTATTTGTTAGAGAACATTTGAGCTCTTGAGTTTTTTGCTCTCCTCCTTTTGAGAATGTTTTGCTCCATCCAGTTCTCACTGGATCATTCCCTTTGCACCTAGTTGGGCAAGGTGGTATGCATCGATGTTTTGTATCCCTTAGCTTACGTAAATACATACATTATATGTATGCTTATATGTATGAAGTTAAATATGCATGTATATTTCATTAAAATATACCGTTCTATTCTCATACTACTCATTTTAGTTTGCATGTTTTTATGGTCCTGTTTATCTATAATCCTTTATTACTGAATTGTGTACAGAGTTATTATGACTGATTACACTTGACTAGTTAAAAGAGTGCAGTTACTTGAGTAAAATTTCTACTGGCATACTTTTCCCTTTTAACAGCAAAATTTGAATTTGTATCATAATCCTTTACTAATGTACTTGGAATCCTTGCAGTTTTGCCTGCCTTTTCAGGAAATGTTCCTGCAGCTCTTAAAACAATTTACCCTGATGCTAAAATTGCACGACTAGGCAATTGGTAATGATCATGCTCAGTTTTCGTATCCATCTACTGCCTTGAAAATTCTCTAGTCTTAGACATTCTTAGTTGGAATGTATATCTAATCTTTAAAACTTAATGACACATTTTGTTTAGTGTCTCGTCCTAGAAATAATTAGCCATTGTATTTGCTAATGCTTGTTGGATGTTAGGGGCTTTAATAAACAAAGGCTTGTTATCCCCATTATTATAATGAACAGAAAAGTTAGGGAGAGAATTATGTTTGATTTGGTTTGGTTAAATGAATTTTGGTTCGCAAATGGTAATCCAAATTTGTAAAAAAAATTAACACATCAAAACCATACTAATCCGCATTCTAAAGATGAAATAAGACACAAATACCATAATAAAAAAGAATAGAAAAAAAGGAAAAAGATATGTGTGTAAAAATCTCATAAAATTGTAATCCATCATAATCAACAAAGCCTTTTCCAACTAATTGGGGTTGGCTACATGGATCTTGGTTTGCCATTCTGCTCTTTTAAGGGTCGTACCCTCAGTGAGGCCGTAAGTCCCCATATTTTTTTCTCCTACTTCCGACTATATCCTTTTGGGCCTACTCCTTGCTCTTTTTGAGCCTTCCACTTGAACTAACTCGTACCTCTTGGTAGGTGCTATACTGGGTCTGTGCCACACATGGCCAGCCCACTTAAGTCTACTTTCTCTCATCTTATCGCCTATTGAGGCCACACGTAAATTCTTTCGAATATATTCATTTTAACTTCTGTCCCTTGTCTTGCCACTCATCCATCTCAATATTCTCATCTCAGCTACACCATAAAACCCTAATCCAAAACTTAAAAGTCTCTAACCTTTAATGTGGAGTCCTTCAAGCTTCGAAAGGGGGAGCTTTGGTTGCCAAAAACCTCTTCCCACAACCACTTTAAGCCCCATAAAGATAGGGCCCAATTATTGTTTGATTTTGCCAAAAATAAAAAATCTTCTATTTTTTCTCAGTCTTCGATTTCTCACAAGAAATCCAGATTTGGGAGTTTTTTTTGCTCTAATTTTTTTCTTGTACGGTTTTGGGGTTTAAAATGACCCCCCAATGTCTTAAATAAAAATAATGAGGGGCAAAATGATAGAAATTGCACCTACCCGATGGACATTTCCACCCTATTTTTTGTAATTATTGTGAGGGTGCCTAGTCGTTCCGCTTGGGCGCTCGTGACATATGCTCCATACCTACCCAACTAGCCCTAGGTGATGCGCCCAAGTCCTCTTGCCGCGTTGGTGCTTGGGCAGGTGAATTTTCCAAAATTATTTTATAATCAATAATTGCTAATTATTATTACAAATTAGTATACTCTAAACTAATAAATAAATTGCCATCTTAAAAGTACTCCAATTCTGCTCACAAACGGATGAGGTAGTGGTTAGGCTCAAGATCCGAATGACCGACATTTGTAAGTCTGGAGCATTACACACATGTTGGCTCTACCAGTTAGCTGCAAATTGATTATCACTTACGATTATATATGAAATATTAAAAGCTAACAACAAATATGAAACTTGAACTTGAAGACTGGGTTAAGTACATTATTACCTGGATCAATTTTGGTCCTTTGTCTCATTGCCATTAGACTCACAAAAGACTTCAATGCGTACTTGTAACTTATTAGCTCATCAACCCATATAAGATCTTGGATATTCTGATTAGGGACTAGCATATCCAAACACTTATTAACTCCAGTCATAATTGTATCGTTTGTCTGTATATCCTTATCAGCATAATAAAAAGTTGGGTTCAAATACTAACCAGCTGCATGCAATGGTTGATGTAGCTGCCATGCCACTTATCATCAATATCTTCCAAACTGACTCAGAGCGGCTCACATCATTAATCTAAATTATGGGCTATCTTTGTCATGCAACCTTCCATTGCCTCATTTGTGAAGCCCATGGAGGCCTTGTCACTATCAACTATGTGATGGACTTTGACAAGAGGAGAAAATACCTTAAGAGCACCTTTTCACCCGTCGCACAAACGCCTTAGACAGGACGATATCTCTCACCTTCTTCCTTTTTTGATCCTTGACCTACTTGCATGCTCTCCAATCATCAGAGATGAACATATGCCTCAATTGGACTATCCTCGAATGTATGCTCTGTAGACATATGTACCAGGTAGCATATCTCGTGACCCCCGACCTCACTCTCTTTATTCTTTGTGAATTTGCGCATCATGGTGAGGGTGAGGGTGTGACTATAAATGAATGTTGTAACTGACCTAGCCTTCTTAACTATGCCTACAATCTTGCTCAAACCTTCAATAGCCTCAAGAATGAGGTCTATGTAGTGTGTTGTGCATGGTGTCCAAAAGATATGTGGGTAGGCTATGTACAACAAATTACCAGCAATAGAATTAGGAGCAGCATTATCTGTGACAACCTGTATAACATGCTGCTCCCCAACCTCCTTGATGCTCTTCATAAATACTTTAAATATGTAATGGGCATCATGGCTATCATCAGGGGCATCAATAGATCTCAAAAAAATAGTCCCTAAGGGCATGTTTGTTTGCTGGAAGATAAACGTTCCCTGGAAAAAATAAGTTCTTCTTTGTTAGGACATGGACTTTTTTGTTTAGGAAGGTTTAAATAAGTTCTGGGTACTTGTATATGATAACCTGTTGGAATGTTAAGGAAATTCTGGATACTTGAAAAACAAAATTTTTTCACTAACCTTGATTGCTTGATCTTCAAACTTCCACCTTTGAGATGTTTCCCAATCTCAAAATCTTCTGAAAAAACCCTCTTATAGGCTTAAAAAATCTCTAAAAGTCAATTCAAACTCAATGGGAGATGTTTGGATCGATTAAGTGGAATTTTGAGAAATCCTTCGATCTTATGGAAATCCCTCCATGAGGGGCATTTTCGCCCTTGGGTAGGCGCATGCCCTGGGTGCTGGCCACGCCTAGGTGGGCGCCCAAGTCCCTACGTGGCTGCCCAGGGACCCTTGACCCAGGAAGCCCGCCGAGGCCTGGGAGATGCACTCGGGCCGCCCTAGCCCGCCTGTGCACTAAGTGGGCCGTTTTTTGAATCATGTCCTCCTAGGCCTTGGCATTAGGCCCCTTGGCAGGCACCTAGGCTGTAGGCAAGCTGTTTTTTGAGACAAAGGGGGTGAAATTTGTTTCTTTCCCTTATTTAGTAATTTTGATTTGATAATGTACACATTCTTCTTCACATGCTAGCATAATGGAAGCTGTGAACTTCATTTAAAGATGTGCTTCTTGTTGCATCTGGATCTTCATATAAGTATTGGGGTTTGTATTTCTGATGTGACTTTGGTATTATGTATACTACAGAAACCTTTGAAATAGTTATCATAATTGAAACAAAGAAGCTATATAGTGTAACCATAGCCATGTAGGCAAATGTGGACTTGTTGATGTAGGAAATTTGAGAAAATAGTAAAATCAGTAAGAAAACAAGCCAAACACAAGCAATAATTTGGAGAACCCTAGGTTTCCTCCTCATCCTAAGCTAGCATTCCAAAAGCCCAAGTTTTTTTTTTCTCTTTTAATTTTTAAAATCATGTGGAATGATTCCCAAGGCCTTACACACCTCTTATATATTATAATTTATTGTTCAAAGACATGAAATATCTATACAGTAATTAAAATGACCCAAAAGTCTTAACCACAAAATTTGTAATGATGATAGATTTTACCCTTATGAATAGTAACTTGTAAGCAGTATCAGGGAATATTAATCAGTGAATAGCAAATAAGAACATAAAAAATTTCTAGAATCCCTAAAATCTCATCATCATCATTTTAGCGTTTTCTCAATTAATTGGGGTCGGCTACATGAATCCTGATTTTCCATTATGCTTTATTAAAGGCTATATCCTCAGTGGGTCATAAGTCGCCATATTTTTTTGGACTACTTCTAACCACGTCTTTTTGAGCCTACCCCTTGCCCTTTTCAGTCCTTCCACTTGAACGAACTCGCACCTCCCGACATGCATTGTTTCAAAAAGCGGACCGCCCCCCTGGGTGCCCGCCTGAACCCCCTTAGGCGGCCTCCCAGGGCATGCGCCCCACCTAGGGGCGGAACTGTGGCTCCCTGAGGGTATTTAGGGTCATTTTTTTAATACTAAAGAGGCAAAATTATGGGTTTTAGGTTCATTTGATACCTAAAACCCATTAGAGGCTATTTAGAGAGAGAAAATCCAAAAAAAAAAATTATACTGGGCCACCCAAGTTCTGGGCGCCCGCCTAGGTCCTAGGCGGCCTGGACCCCCCCGACCGCTTAGGAACCGCCTAGCGCTTTTTGAAACATTGTTGACAGGTAATGTACTTCGTCGACGCCACACATGGCCAGCCCACCTAAGTCTACTCTCTCTCATTTTATTGCCTATTGGTGCTATGCCTAAATTCTCTCGAATAGATTCATTTCGAATTCTATCCCTTCTTGTCTTGCCACTCATCCATCTCAACATCCTCATCTCCGCTACACTCATTCTATGGTTATATTGGTTTTTGTCCGTTCAACATTCCGTCCCATATAGTAAAGCTAGAGTGCAAGTTTAGTAATAATAGGAGTAGAGATACGAAAGTAGTTAAGATTGATGGCCTTAAAGTACAAAAAGGACTGCACTTTCGATATCTTGGGTTGATCATCCAGGAAAATGGAGAGATCGAGGAAGATGTCGCACACAGAAACCTTAAAATATAAAAAACTTAAAAGTAAATCCTAAAACTAAAATTAAAATATACATCCTTTAAAATTGAATAAAATTAAAAATAGGAAAAATGTTGACTTGCATCATTCTTCCCTAGATGGAGAAAACTCATCATCAAGTTTTGAAGTGTATTAAGATGAATTTAGCATTAGAACCACCTTCTTCAATATTCTTCTTATTCGTTGGCTCAATTTTTACTCGTGGTAAGAAGAACTCCCTAAGAAATGGTTCCTGGTATGTATAATAACAAATTGATACAAACTTATCAAATTTGGTTATCCCTGAACTCGCATTGAAAATTATGTGGGAAACTTCAAACTCAATTTTCTGGCCTTTAAAGGCTTTCTAAATATCTATTTCGTCACACTTTGAAACTGGGCCGCAATTTGCGGTTTATGAGTCGATCATGCTTCCTCTGTGTTACTCTGATTTCAATACTTTTGAATCTGTTGAATTGTCCACCTCTTCTATATCTTTAGATCTTTAAGGGCCATGATTTTGATCAGTCCCCCTATTGCTTTCTCTCCATATTCTTCCCTAGCAAGACCCTCTTTTGAACCATCTTCATCTTTATATTTATCTTATCATAGATCTGATCTCCTATTCATTTGAGCATATATCGAAGGTTGGTGGCAAAACCTAATTTACAACCTGCTTATTTTTTTATAGAACCTGTGCCAAAATTAAAATTGTCGTTCAAATTGAATACCCTAGAGTAATGTTTCCCATGTTTAGTTATTCTATCGCTTTCCTCTTCACTCAAATCTTCATGCGGAGCACAGAGGTGAAAAGGGTGATACTCGGCATATTCTTGGGCCGAAAGATCACAGTCTTGCCCATGAATAATGCTCGTAAACTGTTGCATCTATTGTTGAACTTGTCTTTTAAGCTTCTCAATTTCTTCATCTCTGAGATCACGAAGTGGATTTGCAAAAATCCCCCTTCCATGTTCCCTTCTTGTTGCCATGGCTTCGTGAAATCACAGACCCTAGATAGATAATCAACAAAGACTTGCTGAAAACAATAAGATCTAGGTTGATTTGGCAAAACTTGGGCCAAAATCAACAAACCATAGACTTTCTATAGTTTTGATGGAGGCAAACTTGTTCTTATTTTTAATTTTTATTCAATTTCGGAGGATGTGTATTATAATTTTAGTTTTAGGGTTTATTTCTAGGGTTTATAGTTTTTTAGGTGTTTTAGATTTTTTTTTCTTTACTTCATGATTATTATTCATAATTATCTGTCATTCTAAATTAAAAGTTAAGTTAGGATATATGGGTCAATTTGTCATTTGTTTGAACACTTTTTGTACTTGGAACATTAAATTAAAATATATAAAAGGTGAGTGGGGCCTTGAGGGGGTTCATTCCATATGATTTTTAGAAATTGAAAGAGAGAAAAGCTTAGGCTTTTGGAATCCTAGCTTGGGGTATGGAGAAGAAACTGTAGGTTTCTTTGGATGCTTGTGTTTGGCTTTGTTCATTGCTGATTTTACTACTTCCTCAAATTCTCTTGCATCAAGTTTCTTGGCTTTGTTGTTGAAGGAACCCTAAGCTTAGATACCAAATTGATGCAGGAAATTTGAGAAAACAGTAAAATCTACAAAAAAACAAGCCAAACACAAGCAATAACTTGGAGAACCTTAGGGTGTTCTTCTTACCCCATGTGCTAGGATTTGAAAAGCCTAAGCTTTTTCCTTTATCTTTTAGTTTCAAAAAATTACGTGGAATGACCCCCCTTAAGGCCCCACACACTTCTTCTATGTTACATTTTAATGTTCAAAGACATTAAATGTCGTACAATAATTAAAATGACCCAAAAAGTCCTAACATAAGCACAAAAGTTGTAATGACACATTTACCCTGTTAAAGATTAACCTGTGAAAAGTACGTATGAATAGTAACTGGTGAATAGTAAATAAAAACATAATCTAGAATCCCTAAAAACTAAAAAACTCAAAAGTCAACCCTCAAACTAAAAATGAAATATACATCCTTTGAAATTGAACAAAGGGTAAAACTAAGAATAATATTGGCTTGCATCACTTGTATAGGTACAAAGAATCATTAGAATCATCCACAATAAACATAGCCATAGAACTTCCCTAAAATCTATAAACAAAGATTGCACAGATTGACCATTTCCTTAATATTGTGGGCCACGCATTCCTATTTCAATTTATAGCTATTTTGGGCTCCACTTTTTTTCTAGGTTGTTGAAAAAAATAGAGATGATAATCTCACAACAAAACAACACAATTTGAAACGGTAACTACCATGATTGGATATGGGAGGCATTCTTGATGCTAAATTGTTATTTGCAGTTCAATAATATTTAAGGATTTTGTGATAATGTTTCTTAAGAGTTAGAAATGGACTATAAGCTTTTTATATTTATGTCTTTGAATATATCACGCTTGATATTTCCAAATATAGAATAGATAAAGAAAAAATATATCTGTTGCTGGGGTTCCTATTGCGTTTTCATTGCTTAGTGAACACCTTTTCTTGTACCTTCAATTAAAATCCCTTCTGGCTTGTATAATAGGTTTACCGTTAGAGGTGATCCACGCTGGTGCTGCACGTACCTTTTAGATCCAACAGATCCCTTATTTGTTCAGATTGGAAAAGCATTTATTGAACAACAAAGAATAGGTGGGTATTAGTTTTTTGCCTTCATCAAATTATACACACATAAATGGATTTAGGATATAATTCTACAGGGAAGGTAAATTCTGGAAATATATATTCACCATTGTAAATTGAGACTTTTGTTGCGTACTGCATGATTCAACTTCATTTATGAGGACTTTATTATTGCAGCTGTTATGTGGTGAACAATTGTAAGTGATATGCATTTGTGCATGCATCTTTGGTTATGTGCATCTTTAGTTGCATTTATTGATTTGCTTATAGCTCTGCTAATCAGGTTATGTTTGAACTATTGTGAGCAGCTATGATAGGTCCTGTACAATATCATTATTTAAAAGTTTTTCAGCTCTATTATTGTATGTACCAGCATGCCTGTCTTAAATATCTGCGTATATACAATTTTGTACCAAGAAAATACAGGACACGTTGAAAAGAAAACAAAACCAAACTAGGAACCTAGCTGCCTTCCTTGTTTTCACCAAACCATCTAAACTATACACAGAATTAGCAAGGACAATAAAAGAAAGTCTAACCGTGAAAGCTGCTTGGGGTCAAGGATCACCTCCTAGGACTTTGGGCACCCCAATCAGATCCCCTCAATTGCTGGCACAGCAAAACAGAGGCTAAATTCTTCTTCAACTCTCATTGGGGATGCAAAGACCTCAGCTGAAACAGGATGAAAACTAGACTAATCTCTCCTTGAGTGTCTCTCACAGAGTTAGGGTTTTTCCTCTCAACTTTGTCCTTCGCAGTAGCCTCTCCATGTTTTCTTTCTCACAAATTTCTTACCCTAAAATCTCTGCTTTTTCTCTGAGTTTCACATGGTTTCCAGAGAAAAAATAGTGTCATATGAACAACAAAACAATGAAGGATGCATGGGAGAGTTAATTCAACGCCTATATGTGGGCTTTAGGGTTTAGGGTATAGAAGAGATCACTTTGTCTTTCGAGAAAAATAGCAGATCCATTGGATGAGGAGGCTTTTAGTCTCAGCCTTTTATTCCTCAGATCAGCCATCATGATTTTGGGCATGACATTACTCCTCTATCCCTAGTTGCTTTATCCCACTTTCCTTCAAAATTAAGATAGAAGTCCAACTTCAATTCAGACTAGGAATCATGTAGGTTTTTAAGTTTTCTTCTAAAAATAATCTCTCTTAAATATTTAGTCTTTCTTGAATCCTAGAAAGTTCTTTTTGAGACATAAATTATGTTTTCTTTAGATTCTTGGAAAAGGGATCCTGAAAAGATTAGGTTTATTGATTTTCTTAGCACGCCATAGATGTAAGACAATTAGAATTTGCGTAACGCATGGAAGTCCCATGGCCAGTGGTCCCATGCGATCCCACATGGTGATGATGTGGCCACTTGTGGTTTAAAACAAGTCTTGCATGTGTCCTAGTTACTCTGAGGCCAAAACTAAAAGTCAAACATACAGAGGACAAAAGAAAACACAAAACTCCAAATAAGCCCTTTTGTGAAATAAAAACAAAGTTTAGCATATATCCTCCCTTATTTTAAGGGCAAAAATTTCTAATTAATATGAATGTTTGAGAAAATTAATTCTCATGTAATCCTTTAAAGACATAATATTGTTAAAATAAATTATTGAAGGACTGGGCATGCCATTGGATAATGCCTCAACTTTCTAACTAGGCATTCCATTTTTGTTGGCCATTGTTATAACAGTTTGTCCTCTCAAACTAACCCAATGAGATCCATGATCCATTATCTCTCTTGCAGGGCCTCATGACTAGCTTATCAATGTTTGTAAGTATGTTAACTATAAGGTCATGGATTACAGGTGTCCCCAAGGATAAGTCATGTCACTCCTAGAGGTGTACAACTCTATCTGGTGCTAGGGTCCTCAAGGTGACCCTCACAAGTCACTTCACTAATGCAGCTATCTAATGTGCATGCTTAGAGGGATATGAGAGGATTTGGCCCTCACAAGCCTACCCTTAGAAGGATAACACCTTTCTCCTGGCTCAAACCTACCATTGGGCATACTCCTTTGTCGACAAGAGATGACCCAGAAACCCTCTTGGGTTGGTGCGTTTGGCCATGTGCCTTTTGCCTAAGGTCTTTCATTTTCGACTCAATCAGCCCTATGACCTGGCTAGCGATGTGTAGTGTAAGTCATCTGGGCTCTCATGCCCCCTTGGTCCTACATGAATCACACTTCTACTAAAGCTGGAGTGTCTCTTTTTTATTTTATTCATAATCATTAGTGTTTACATTACTTAATACATGAAGCAAGGCCTTTAATGCTCTCAAATCCCAACACTATATGAAGTAGAAAGAATTTTACAGGGTAGTCTATTGATTGAAAACCTAAAGAGGAAGCCTACAAGTTAGGCTTTAATGGTCTTTACTGGTAAAACCAAAAATAACATATCAAAAATCTACTCTCCATTCTAAATTCTCTACATAGGCGCTATTTACAATGCTAGACCTTACTTAGAGCCCAAGAAATCCTAATTCTAATTGAAATAGAAGTCCTAATTAAAAAAAATTTGTAATTGTATTTTTACTCCTGATAAACAAAATATGCCATAAGCATACTAACTACTTTTCTAAACAGCTCCTAAAATCCTAAAAATAACCCTAGAACTGCTAAAAAAAATTTAAAAATCCTATAAATAAACCCTAAATTTAAATTATAGCATATATCATTTGAAATTAGACAATAACTAAAAAGAAGAATAATTTTGTCCCACATCACGATATCACATATTCTTTTCGTAAGAACCTATCAATGAATTGTATTTCGCTGAAGTAATCTACATGTAATATTTTTTTCTGCTTTTATGCGAAGTCCAGAGAGTTGAGTTTTAAATAATATGTTTTCTCTCCCTGACATTAGTCATTTTCCACAGAATATGGAAAGACAGGACATATATACAATTGGTAAGTTCATATCAACCTTTAAACCCCTCTAAAGTTTCTATTTCAATTCCCTTTGATATTTGCAATTTGTTTGAGATAAGCTGCCATCTAGTTAAGTATCACACTTTTTTTCTTTTTTGAGACATGCAGATTTCTTGCTCCGTTCAATAATTCTTGGTTGGAATCTGTTAGACTGCTGAAGGTTAAGCTTACTTTTGGTAGTGTTTTTTTTTGAAATAGTGAAGTCCATGAAAAAATTATCTTTGCTGACTTTGCAACACGACGCAGAGTTTTGTAAGAATTGTCTGAACATTGTCAAGAATAACTTCTGATATCAGATGATGTAAAAGACTCATATTTTGCAGAATAGATAATTAGATATTGTTTTTTATGTAAAGTACAATAGCTATATTGCTATGTGGCAGTTTCATAATTATATAATTTTGGACAAAAATATATATGTACTTTGTTCTTTGAAAGCATGAGATTTCTGTGACAGAGCCATCTTAATGTAGCATTAAAAGATCACTTCCTGGTTTGTAATTATTGCGCTGTCCCAATCTGCATGTCTTTTCTCTTTATACATGTTATTTTAGTTTGGACACATGGAAAACAATAACAAGACTTAGTTAGAGTTTATAATGCTGCCGTCTCATTGATTGTGTTGTAGTGTATGGATTGTGTTGTATGCATTCATTTTACTTAGTCCCATTGTTTAAGGAGCATTTTTTTCATTTTGATCCTGTCATTCAATATGGATTTTATATATGTCCAAGGCAGTGATTTTCTTCTTTCCTTAAATCATATGATCCCAATGAGGTAGCAATGATGTAGGAAAAGTAATAGGGTTTCGTGACATATTCGTCCCCCAATCTAGATTTTTAATCTTGATGCTGGCAATATATTTGGTACTCTTGTCATTTGTGTGAACAAAACGAAACAAATTGGAATTTTTGTTTCTCTCCTAGGGGGTTTTGACTGTCTTGCATTCATACAACTTTGGAACATTTTGTAACATCAACTTAAAAGGCCTTCCGTGAATCAAAATCCTTTGGATGTTGATTGGATAAGGTTGTACGATATAGGACAGAATTAAAAACAACTGCCAGTTTATGACGTAATTGCAGAAGTACTTTTGGCAACCAATTATCTGACAAACAATTTCATGCATACAAATACATGACTCTGAACACTCAGAACCACTAGGTTATGGGTGACCACCCACCGTTGAAGGAGGACATTTAGAATAATCAAAAGAAATACATATATAGGATGTTTAAACTCACCTACCCTTGTTGCTTCCTTAACTGATTTCAAAGTAAGTTAAGTTGACAAGGCCAAATTTTGGTCTTTGCCCTCCAATCAAATGGTGTAGAGATAGAAGTAATAAACTACAATAGAAATGAAAAGACGAGAGTATCCCAGGAACATCTACTGAAGTGGGTTGAAGCATTTCCTAGATATCCTGAACTTGAGGTTTGAGGAAAAGAGGGTATCTAACTATTCTATAATCCACTAGACTATGAAAGAACCATAGCCCATTGGGGCATCACTATGGAATTGATGGTTGACGATGATGTGATTGGGAACAGGGCGTGATCCAATGTTGCGTCCACTTTTTCATTCTTACTGTCCATCTGTTAAGTCGATGGAAATGACACAATAAATTAGACTGCTCTGCAGTCCATTGTGCTGGACTATGAAAGAACCACAGCCCATTGGGGCATCGATATGGAATTGATGGTTGATGATGATGTGATTGGGTACAGGGCGTGATCCAATGTTGTGTCCACGTTTTCATTCTCACTGTCCATCAGTTAAGTGGATGGAAATGACACAATAAATTAGACTGCTCTGCAGTCCATTGGGCTATATTATCCTTTCCTCTAAGTACTTACAACAGAAATAGTTAGAATGAAATGAAATAGGCAAAACAATACTAAGAAAACAAGCGCAAAAAGAGGTAAAAGGGGTAATATTAACGCACACAATGGAATGCAATTTATTTGCTATGTACTGACCACCATAATTTTGTCTAGTTCTCTTTTTATGCTGAAATATAGAATGGTATTGGCTTTTTGCATTCCATGTGATTGAATGACTGATGGACACATGAACTAGACATAGTTTCCCTCTATCAAGGAGCATAATTTGATAACATGGATTTTCAAATGATTCACAAGAGATGATTTATTATGGTTTTCTGCCATCTGATTATGAAAATGGCAGTGACACTTTTGATGAAAATACACCACCAGATGATGATCCAGATTATATTGCTGCTCTTGGTTCAGCAATATATGAAGCAATGCTCAAAGGTGATAGCGAGGCTGTTTGGCTTATGCAGGTGCTTAGCTAATGCCCTTGTAATTTATTAAATAAAATTTATCAAGTTAGTTCTGAGCTTCTTTCACTTCCACGACATATATTGCCTCACTTAGTTTTATTTGTGGGGGGAGGGGACCGGGGTAGCCTAAAACCAAAATTTTTGTCATAGCTTTTTGGTGTGCAATGGAAGTTTAGTTGAAGAGGTGTTTTTGGTCTATTCGTCCAAAGCTAGCCAAACAATGTCTTGAAGCAATCTTTGTTTTCTTTTTAGATCATCCTGGACTGGAAGCTGAGTAGTTCAGGAGCAAAACATGTCAGTCATTGTGACTCACATCTGACTTCATATATATATAGACATATAGGCACATATAAATATGTTCATACAGATACATACATACATACATACACACACACATATATACTTACGCATACACACGCACTGTGTGTATATATATATATATTCAGGTTCTGTTGTCAAAACTATGGAGCACAACACCATTTGGTTAGATTTGAAACTTGGATATTATATTGTGGCCACGAATGCCCTAACTCAAAACCCAAACATAGAAACTATCAAGAAATCTTTGGTGGAAAAAACCTTGACCATACTATTTTACAGATGCTGCTACACGATACATAGTCATTATTGGCTACTGATTTTCTTCTCTCTTCTTCACTGCCCATCTTACTGGAATTAGTATGGAATGACAAATGTTTTTGACAGAGTGTGTATCATGGTTAGTTTTTTGGGTTAAACATTTTCATTTTATGTTCTCTTATGTTTGTTAGATACAGGTTTTATTTGAGTGGTCGAGAGGGGTCATCTTGTTTTATACATGTATTAATAGTTACCATCCTTAGCTTTGTTCTTGCACTTTTAAGCAGTCAATTTAATTGTTTGTTCTATTCATCTTGGTTGATGTACAGGGTTGGCTATTTTCCTATGATCCATTTTGGAGGCCACCACAAATGAAGGTTTTTCTCTTGCTTCCAATTGGGTTTCCTATTACCCTAAACCTCCTGTGTTTGATTCATACTGGTCCTCCTTTAAGTTTTGTACCCTTTAGATTAAAAGCGTTAGTTCAGTTTTATATATTAGCAGTTTGTATGTTTAAACATTTTATGGTGAGTTTGTAACTTGATTGATAAATTGAAATGTGTTGTTTCTATATTTATCTCACAAAAAAGAAAAGAACTTATGCACTTGTGAGGCAATTCTTGCAATGGATTTATGTATCTTTTTTTTTTTTTGGAAAAGGTGATAAAGTTATGTATATTATGGCAGCCCATGGTTTGGGCTCTCTTTACAAAAAAAGAAAGAAAAAAAAAGAGAAAAAGGAAAAAAGAAGACAAAGAAAACGGAAAAGACATGTGAAAATGAAAGAGAAGGATGTGAGAGGAGAGGGAGTAAAAAATGGATAGAAGAGGAGTAAAGTGGAAGAGAAGAGAGAAGAGAGAAGAGAGAGAGAGAGAGAGAGAGAGAGAGAGAGAGAGAGAGAGAGTAGAGAGAGAGAAGAGAGAGAGAGAGAGAGAGAGAGAGAGAGAGAGAAGAGAGAGAGAGAGTAGAGAGAGTAGAGAGAGTAGAGTAGTAGTAAGT